TGATTTTACATTTTAAAGAAGGATACCCTCCCCCCCCAGACTATCAAACTAGAATGTACTCATAACATGCAGTTCCACAGCTCTGTTTGGCACAGGTATGAACTGACAAGCACAACCAGCAATCCTTGATGCATCTGGCTCATGACAAAATCTGTACCAGCTCTGCATTAAAATAAGGGTGTGAGCCACCTCTAAACACTGGGGATTTATGAAACACAACCTTCAGAATCTTAAAATCTCTTGGTCAAAGTACTTCTAAAGTTGCTAATGCACCAAAGCACATTTTGGGATTCAGAATAGGCAGATTCAGTTTAAGAAATATGTGTGAAAAATAGATTTTAAGCCTAAACATAGCAAGACTGTATTCCAACTGTCCCCAAGTATATTCCTTTGAAGAGCAGACATATTTTCCTCCAGAAAGCTGACTGCTTAAAATAGCTGTCAGCTTTCTAAAGAGAATGATTAATTCCACTGGAGTTATTTCTGTTCCAAGAGTACTACTAAATTTAACTGACAATGGGAAAAGCTGCTGTTAATGGATGTTTCACATGTTTTAAAGAAAGTCCATGTATATGCATTTGTGTGTGGTTTCTTTTAGTCTTTGACTTGATTTTCATTATACAACTAATCAGTCAATGCTTATAAACCACTGACCAAAGCCTTTACGTGTGCAAGTATTACAAAATACGTGCAGTATTTTAAATGCCTTGGTATTCCTGGAACCACAAAATCATAGAATGATTTTGGTCAGAAGGGGACCTTGAAGATCATCCAGTTCCAACCCCTGGCCATGTGCAGGGGCACCTTCCACTATAACAGGTTGCTCAGAGCCCCATCCAACCTGGTCTTGGATGTCTTAGTTGTTTATTTTTGGGTGCTATTTGCTAGATTTCAGCAGGATAATGTCCGAGAGAGACTGCCTGGGAAGGAGAGGATGTAGGAAGCTCCCATAGCTTCTGAGCCACAGCCTTAAGATGCAGCTACAGAGCTCTACATCACACGTGTAGAAAAGGAACCTGTTTGTCATTTTACTGTCCCATAAGCGTGAGATGAGTTTATGACAATAGAGCAAGACCTCTTTGCACTGAAGAATAAAATGCAAAATTGCTTTTATTGCTGACAACCCTGCCTGCTGCTTCCACATGCAAACGCAGTCAGGACTCTGCCTCCCCATCCTGCTCCTCCTCCTCCTCCTCCTCCGCCACAGTGAGGAACAGGAGCCAGTCCCCCTTCAGAGCCCAGAGCTCTTAATGTGGCCCAGCCACCAGCTCCTCCTGTGGGCCAGATACCCCCTCACTGCCCCCCTGGGCCGCCTATAGTACCCAGGGCTGCCATGACCCCCCTCTGGCCCTGCTGGTCCCCACCTCGCTGCCCCAACCAGATCTCCCTGTCAGAGCCCATGGCCTTCCAGCTGTCAGGGGCCGGTAGTCACTATATACTGACTGCCAGTAACTATATAGTGATTGCTAGTGACTGCCAGTGACTGAATAGTGATTGCTAGTGACTGCCAGTGACTGAATAGTGACTGCTAGTGGCTGCTGGGAACTGTACGGTGACTACTAGGAAGACATAGTGACTGCTATGACTGTATAGTGACTGCTAGTGAATGTATAGTGACCACTAGGAACTGTATAGTGACTGTATAGTGACTACTAGTGATTGTATAGTGACTACTAGGAACTGTATAGTGTCTGTATAGTGACTACTAGTGATGGTATAGGGAGTGCCAGTGACTGGTAGAGACTATATAGTGATTGCTAGTCACTGTATAGTGACTGCTAGTGACTGTATAGTGACTACTAGGAACTGCATAGTGACTGTACAGTGACTGCTAGTGACTGTATAGTGAGTGCCAGTAACTGTATAGTGACTGTACAGTGACTACTAACTGCCTAGTGACTCCTGGTAAATGTATAGTGACTCTCAGTAACTGTATAATGACTGCTAGAAACTGTATTGTGACTGCTACTAACTCTTGGCAACTGCCTCAGAACCGCCCATTAGCTTCTAGTAACTGTCAGTATCAGCCTCATGTCTGCCTCACAACTACTAGTACCTGCCTCATAATTGTTTCAGAACTGCTAGTATAGTGGCTGCCTCAGAACTATTAGTACCTGTCTAATAACTGCCCAGTAACTACTAGTAAGAGCATAGTAACTCCCTAGTAACTGCTCAATAGCAACAATAAAAGTCTCTCAAAAACTGTTAGTAAGAGTCTACTATTGTTGCATTAACTGTGTGGTAACCACTTGTAATGTCTTAGCGTCTGCCTAGCAACTACTAGTAATGGCTTTGCAGCTGTCGAATTTCTACGTAACAACTACTAGTAACTGCCTTGTAACTGCCTAGTAAATACTAGGGACTGCCTAATACCTGCCTAATGACTACTAGTAACTGCAAGCCTCCCCCCTCACCTCTCTGCCCCCCAGCATCCAAAACACTCCCAAATCCCACACATTGCTGCTGAACCACCAGCTGGCCCTCCCTTCATCACCCCCCCCGATCCATTCCTCTTCAGGGCCGAATTCCCCTCAGTCCCCATTGTGCCCACCCCTGGGAGAATAAGCAGACTCATTTCCCCCCACTTTTCCCTGCTGTCACCCCCAAAAGGGGGTTCATCCAGGTCAGCCTCCCCCTTCACCCAGCAGGTGTTTACATGGAATGGTTAAAGCTGAATTACAGTGACGAGATGAGTCTGAGGAACACCTGCCTAGCATGAGTATTTTTTTACCCCTCTTTCTTCCTTTTTTCTTTCCAATTCATGACTTGCCTGAGCTTTGCTCACCACAGTCCAAAGCTGCTGTGATTAAATTTGATAAAATTGTGCTTTGGATAATTTTTAGAGGGCAGCAGAGGGTGCTGTTAGTTCTTCTCTTAGGAGGATGGGGCCACTCACCCCTCCGGCCCAGAATCCAGACAGACCCACAGTACAGAATAATAATCTCCTGTTGAAGGGTCATCCTTGCTCAGTGCTCCAGAATTGGTGTTTCTCTCCAGCTGGCTTTGAAATTCAATGTGTTTCCAAGGGGATCAAAGTAGGTTCACTCCTCCAAATTGGTATTTAAAAAGAAAGAACCCACATTATCCAGTATCTACTCTAGAAAGGTAGATTCGTTGTTGTAAATGTATTATTTGTTCTCTTATTATGTTCTATTCTATTCTGTATTATTTGTTATCTGGGAATCAGGGACAGTGTTTAGTGTGATTAATGACTGGGTTCAATATAGCCACACTCCAGATTGTGTGGTTTGGGGAAAAAAAAAATCAGCATAATTTTGAGGTGTTAAAGTACTTCTGGCAGTTTCTAAAAGACATGTGCAGCCAAGGGAATTACTTGTGAGACCAGAGCATCCTGACTTCACCTATCACACATGTAGAGCATTGCAATTAAAATTGTAATTGCTCGTAAGGCTTAATTGCCTGTAGTGACTTTTCTGCACTGCTCAGTGTTTCTACAAGAGCTTGTGCTGATGGCTCTGGGACGGGTCTGGCCCTCCTCAGGAGGAGTGGAGGTGTCTGATTGTTTGGGGAAGATACAGCTCATAATCACATGAGCGGCCGGATCACCCTGGATTTATGGAGCTGTGGATTGATATTGTTTGTGCTTGGCACACTCAGGCAGACTATAACACAGGGTGTTTGTGCTGAGGTATGGTACCAGGCTTCATTCACAGGCAAGGAACGTTGCCAGAATCTTTTAACAGAAGATGCTGAGCAGTTCTGTGTCTTGAGGAGCCCAATGATAATTTCCACTGCCTTGGAAATGTAAAGTGTTTCATCTACCGCCATGGGATGCACAGGAATCACCCTCTTTATTTCTCTGCATCTCACTTTCCCTGTTAATCAGACAGATTTTTCTGTGCAACACAGAAGTGTGGGAAGAGGTTTGCAATCATTGTTATCTGCACAGTGCTTAGAGAGCAAACAGCATCAGGTTTCCTAGGGGTGGGAGGGTAAGATTAGCAGGAACCAGCCCTGTGAAGTGCTATTAAATGATAAAAGAATGTTGAACAGCAATCTGGGCTGGGTTCAATTTCCACAGAGGTTCACTCTTACACGGGGAGGCCTTTCCTTTTGTTTCCCTGAACTTGCACTGGGGCAGAGTAAAGCCAGGGCCTGGCTGCTCACAAGTTTGTGAGTTTTTGAGGAGTTGTGGACTTCTTTTCCACTCAAGTGGCTCAGATTCTCATCCAAAACCAAGCATTGGAGATAGGGAGAGCTCTCAGGTGCAACACTATCTTTCAAAGAGTTTTAATGCATTTAAAACTGTATGGGTATTTGAGATGTCCTGCTTGTTCCCTCAGCCCATGCTGAACTGCTGCTGCCCTTCCAGCTCCTTCCTCACGGCTCTGTACACACTTTGCCACTGGCATTTGGGAAATGAATCCTCTCTTCCAAGCTCTGGTGGTGACAGGATGCCGAGAATTTCCAGGCACGTGTTTCAGTGTTCTCCCTGCCTCTAAACATGCTGTCCATCTCCTTGAGGGTAAAAATAAAGCAGCTTTGTTTGATTTCTAGAAAAAGCCAGACGACACTGCAGGGGTCAGAAATAGGCATCCCAGCCCTGCCCATCCCACTGTCTCAGCTGTTGCTTCCTGAGAGACAGAAGCATGTGGTTGCTAAAAATATCTTGCAAAGAGAATACATTCTCTCTCCAGTGGGAGAGTATAAATTAAGCTGAGTTGTAATATATACAACTTCTTGGGAGTGGGAGAAACAATTCAAACGTCATTTTCGGGGAGCGTTTTCCTAATGAAGCAGAAATCCCACCCCTGTCCCTTCCCTGCGTAGGTCGGCGATATTGTGCAGAGAGAGGATCTCCGGCTCCTGCCTCTCCTGCTCCCACCCCCTTCCCCTCCTATGGGAAGCGATGCGGCCAGGGGTGGGGGGAGGCCAGCCCTTTTATAAGCGTGGTCTTGCAGCAAGTCCAAGTTGATAGGAGTGGCAGGAGATTTGGCTTGCTCCGAGATACCCACCTCCCAAGCCTCAGGGTCCCTGGGATGACCAAAGGAGGAATGGAGTCAGTTGAAGTGTTCACAACTGAAGGCAAAGGCAGGGGCTTGAAAGCCCAGAAGGAATTCTTGCCTGGGGATGTCATCTTTGCGGAGCCAGCCTATGCAGCCGTGGTTTTTGACAGGTAAGAGGAAATCACTTGTAACACACAGACCAGAAGTAATCTCGATGCAAAATTTCATCTGCCTGGTTGCATAGAAGTTTGAAAGCGGACAACGCCAGAAAACAGAGCGAAGGGAAGTCAGAAGCACTTCTGTAGGTACATTCACAGCTTACAGTGCATGTGCTTCCCAGGGCTTAGATCATCTTTTTTACTTTTAATATGATGCAATGTATTTCCAGGATGTGACCTTGCAAGGTGCTTGGTGTCATCAGCTTTTACAAATGCAGTGAAAGTTGCATATATTCTGTGCCTCACAAAACTAGCCCCGTGTTATGCCCCAGTAAACTGCCAGGAGTTGGTGTGATTCAGGCACAGCGATCTTGGACTGACTTTGCTGAAGCCTCTGGTGTGTAATGCACGATAAAAGTGAGTTCCATTGTGCTCTGCTCACATGTACCACCTCCAGCTGTACTCGCAGCTTCATCACCCGCTGCCCTCGGACTAGGAGCTGGTGGGGATCAGCAGCTGACATTGTTTGTGTTAAAGTGATTTTATATTTACACATAGCTGAGTCAGCTGGAGACAAGTGTCTGCTTTTGCTCTTGCACGAGACTGGATTTAAATTTACGTCCACACTGATGTAGCCAGAAATTAAGTTCTGACGCAAGGACATTTTTCTTTTCTGCTGCTTGTTTTAAGCATAAACAACATTTGCTTAACTTGCCCTGCCCGTGTGGCTGGTAGGTCCCCACTTCTGCCCTTTGAATCAGAGGAAGATTCACTTCAATAACGTGGAAGCTAAAAGACGCAAAGAACCAATTTCTGTGTTAATGTCCATGGGGCTAAATCTAGAACAAAGCCTCAGACATGAATGGAACTTGTTCAGGCTTATAATAAAAAGAGAATAACTGAGAACAGAATGTGTCCCTAACTTTTAAACTGAAGAGTTAGATGTCAGTTGAAGGTTTCATTCTGGACTTAGGAAAGTTGTGCGTGTTCTTCAAGGGCATCATGGTCAGTCCCAAGACTGATTTTTTTGCCCCAAACCAATGACTTCAGTAAATACTCTGCACATTAAACAAGTCTGTGAGCAGCCCTGCCTAGCTGAGCTTTCCCTGATTGAACAGGCTCTGCTAATGAAGTCTGGGGCACAAGCAGAGGTCGTGCTGCTGTTTTAATCCCAGACATTTTGTACCTGAAGCTGATCAGTGCTACTGTGTGATCTTGTAGTAGCAGAGGATTGGGGATTAAATGGACAGGGCAAGAAATAATTTTTTTTTTGTGTGTCTTTCAGTTTCCTTGCCCTTTAACTGTCAGTGGGTGAACATGATTATGAATCTTTGCAATAGCAGCAATGACACCTGTAGTTTTTATTTTAATCTGTCATTGCAAGAGATCACATTAAAAATGTCATTGTCATTTTAAAATGATGAGTTCTTGAAGTCTTAACCCTGAGCTCCATTACAGTAGTTGGGGACAAAATCATCTCTCCTTGATGTGTCCTTTTAGCTCTTCTGCTTCAGTTTCACTTGTGTCACTAGCTGGAATCTTCTGGTAATATTTGCTTCAGAAATGCCTATGGACAGTTATTTTTCCCATATGCCTTATTAACAATAATTTTAAAAAAAGAATTAAAAAACATTGAAAACATTTTGGCTTTTGATGGCTGGTAGAGAGGTTTTTTTCTTGTATGTGAAATGTTGCAAACATCATGCATAGAGCAGAGCTGTCCATGTTGAAGAGCTACAGCTTTGCTGCATTTTCAAATGTCACTTGTGTAATGTGAGATAAGGGGAGAAACTATCACTACATCAGCTCTTAGACTGTAGGCTGTGTCTCAGGCTTAGGTTTCCAACAGAAAACCTCCTCGGATGGGGAGAGATGTGCTTCAGTCCCTCCCCCCACTGGGTTTGTTTAGTTTCCAGAGGGCAGGTCCAGAAGCTGAGCAGCAAGGAGGCAATTGCATCACTTCTCTGTGAGGGGAGAGGATGGGGATGGCTTCAAGGCATTCTGATCTTCTTCTTCTTCCTGTTGTGAAATAATAATGGACTCTTACCCTCCTGTGACACATTTCATCCCAGAGCACTTCATATAGATCAGTGGGGAAATGCAGTCCCCAAATTTGAAACAGGCAGTGCCAACTAAATGCCTGTTGGTTAGTGCTTGGCAGGGGATAAGCTGGGTCTGAGATATAATGGAAAAACACGTTTTTGTCATGGAAATTACCCTGATGCTTTTCTTACACACCCCAGGCTTTGGTTTTGAAGGCATCTTCTACTGCTATCCTAGAGTATTCGGTTGCATCAAAACCCATTGAATTGATTGCTGTCAGAGAAGGGCAGCCTGAATCCTTGTAGGACCTGCAAGAGTAAATTCACACTAGGCAGTGGTGGCTGGTTTTGCCCTGAAAGAACTGCTGTTGCCTCTGCATGGATGATGCAGAAGTCCAGTGAAGAGGCATGTGGTTTTCCTTGCCCACAAACACACCTCTATAGGTCCTAAAATTGGTGTTGAGTCTATGCTATTAAAAAGGATCTCAGCCTGCACAGGGAAACCCAAAGTCCACAGTCCCTCATCCTAATTCAACTCAGCACTTTAATCTCTTGCTGAAAGCACTCTGTTTGTGTCCTAGGGAAAGGGGACTGAAATGGGTGTGATTAGTGGGTTTAATTTTTTGGGTCAGGTCTTACCAAATATGTGATCAGACTTTCCACAGATCTCAGCTTTCTTTGTGCATAAAGACAACCACAAAAGCACTAGAGAGCAGAGTTGGTCTTTACTTCACTTGTCCAGCAATATGCTTTGAGACTCAGCTTGCAGATGAAGACACCCAAAGCCAAGGTCTTTTTAAAGAATTTGAGATGCCCCAGGGTGTCTGAGACATCCTCTTAAGGGTGACAGGTAAAAACCAGGATTTATGAGAATCAGGCCTCTTCTCAGGCTGGCTGGGTGTCCCTGCAAAGCGTAAAATAGCACTGGATTCCTGCATCCAGACAAGTGAATCCAGTCCTAAGTGCCCATGTAATCAGTGGAACACCATAATGTGCACTGAAAACAGACACCCTTGAGCTAAATGACTTTCCAGACCCCAGTGAGTGTTGTGATGGAATCTTTCCTTAGACACAGGGGGCAGAGATGAGCACATCTAGGTGTCTAAATCTACAGCCTGCTTCCCACCTTGGAAGCCCCTGCAGTCCCCCTACAGTCATTAAGGCTGGTGAGGGCCAGCACTCTTCAGCCCAGTGATGGTCATCTGAGCAGCAGTTTCTTACACAGTGCCAGAGACTTTTAGTCCAGAAGTACATAAAACTCAAAGCTAAAGAAGGTTCCTATAAACATTTGCCAGCTCATAGTTTCTTAGATTTTAAGGCCAGGGTATGAGTCACCAGGCTAACCCTGCTCATGGCAGGGGGATTGGACTAGATGACCTTTAAAGGTCCCTTCCAACCCGAACCATTCTGATTCTATGATTCTGGAACCTTTTTGCTTAACACAGTCTTTACCTGGTGTTGACTCTTGTATCAAGCCTGTTACTTCTACCTGAATGAGAAGAGGCTGCCTAGAGAGATGGTGAATATGGATTGAAAGAGGGTACAGAACTCAGTGTGATCTCCAGTATTTTGCTCTTTGGATAAAGTGCAGGCACAGTCTGATCTCTGTTTGATTCAGCCCTGCTGTTATCAGCTAAATATCTCTCAGAAAATACCAGTGTCAGGCCTGCTTTGCCCTATAGTAGATGCAGAAGGCTGGAAATTTATCCTTTCAAGGGATCAATTGCTTTTGTTGGGGTAATTTTTCAATTTGCAAAGCCCCTCTGCATTTCTCATTCCCACTGAAGCTTTCTCTAGTGCTCTGCTTATGTGCTGGGGTTCAATCCTTCCTCCCTATTCGCTTTCTTTTTGAAGATCCCAGGTCTCCTTCCCTCACTGACATCTTCAGGACGATGGCATTCCCAGGACCTGGGCTCAATGTACTGTATGTGACCTTCTCCTCCGGCACATCAGTTGGCTCTCAAGCCTGTAGGAGTTTACATTTCCTACGAGCATGAGGATGCCTCGTATGTCTCTGTCAGCCTTCGTCAAGAGAAGGTTTGCTCTTTAACCAGTGGGGTTTTTGAGATACAGTAGTCAAGGGAAACAGTGTTATGTGGTAGAAAGCCAGGATCACCTGAGGATCTGCTTGATGAGTGATCTACAAATGGCTAAAAAAATGAGATCATTCTTTTTGATGTATGAAACAGGCCTGAAACGTTTTCCAAGGAAATGTGGAATTGTAGCTGTTATTGTAGCTAGGAGAATAAGAAACCCAAAATTTTCCATAACAGTGTGATTCTGAAAAGATTATAGAAACGAATTCCTTGAGTTGATGCCAGTAAATACTGTGAGCTAATGTGATCACATTTACACTGCTTAGAACGTTCTGGGGTTTGATTTTTTATTATTGTCTCATTTGTTGAAAAGCTTAGATAAAACCTGGAAGAAAACTTACCTTTTTAAAAGAAAACCACACCCACACCTCTAAAAAGAGGCTGGGAAATTTCGTAAAGAAAGACTAAAAATAAAATAGTCAAACATTAGTCTAAAACAAATCCTCCACTCAAATAAGACAAACTGGGATATGTCATCCCTGACATTTTAAAGATGAAAACAACTTTTTAACCCCTTTTTAAAGGAGCAAACCCATTCTTGTGCTAATAATTCATCATTAGGTAGTCTCAATAGAGGCCAGCTGTTGATCACCTCCCCTTGTCCTTTCACTGCTGGAACAGAAGGTGCATTTCCTTAGACTTTTGTCTTTATTGAAGTGTTACACACTCTGCTTTGAAAGCCAAGGAGACTTTGTGTACATCTTAAGCTGTTCTTCTGCTGTCATCTGTAGCAGCTTGAGGACAGCCAGCCAGTAATAAATAGGATTTGGGTATAAGTTCATCCATGTGTATCACCTATGATGTACAGAGTAGAACGAAGTTTGTGAGCTCCTCACTGTGTCCATCAGCTACTCAATGAAATCCTCCTCTGTTCTTTGCACTAAAGCCATCTCACCTGGCTTTTCCAGGCCAGTGAATGGGGTGCTGTGTGTGCTGGATGGCAGAAGTTTGGTTGTGAACGTCTCAGAGATGAGGTTAATACATTTTGTGTGACAGTGCTTAGCCCTCTGTCCTGGCAGGTCCAATAGTTCTTAATCCATCTGAATCCAATCCAAGCAGTCACAAGAGTTATTTGTTTCTTCTGCTTTCACTGAGAGCTGTGCTTGCAGGAGCCATGGTTTAGTTGTCAGTGCTCTGTCACCTCTGGCTGTCACATTGAATCATTGCTTTTGTCACGGCAGCTACATCCAGGATTAGTAGTTTGTAGTTGTGCGTCTCATCTACGTAACGTCAGAGCACATGAGTTCTTCAGAGTTCAGCTTGGTTGACTCTTGGATAAGAGGCTGAGGAAACCTGAGAAAGTCATTTAGTGAGTCAGTCAGTGGCATCTGCCCTCCAAGTCAGTCCTAAATCACTGACGTGGCAAGGTTTGACAGGCTGGAGATATCACTGTACTTATGAAGATCCTGCTTTTGGGCAGGGTGGGAAAAAGGCTCAAAGTGTGGAAGATGGCAGTGAATGAGTGGCCAGAGATCATCTCAGAGGCCATGGTGTACGTAGACACAGCAGAAAGCAGTTGTGTTGTCCATGTGTTAAAGCAAGGGAAGCTGAGCACCAAGACTGAGGGCTGAAACCCTCAGGGCTCCTGGGCAGGTACCACACTAGAATTCACCTACCCAGGGTACTCTCCAGAAACTTTTGTAGCTACCTGGCCATCCCACATCAGGATGCTCTGTACTGAACTCTGTACTGAGAGGGGAGATCTGGGCTACCTGGAGCCATTTCTAGAAAGTTAAACACTTTTGAGACCAGATAGAGAAGGTTTTTTAGACCATTGATTTCCACAGGCCAAGAGACTCAGGTTTAATCTTGGGCCGCTCCACCTGTCCTTGGGGGACCTTAATCATTGCAAAAGGAGTGAGAGAGTAGCCTGTGGATCACTGCAAGCCTTTTGTGTTCTTGGTGTTGTTTGTCTCCAGATGATATGAGAGCCTGGCATAAGGTCCAGCCCTGGGGCCAAGGGAGAGCCCCACTTTGGCAATCCCTTTTGGGGCACCCAGCTCTGAGCTCCTCTGGGACAGTAGGAGTTTGTAAAACTGCCAAGGGGCACCTGGGAGATTTAGGTGCTTACAGGCAGTACTTGACCAGTATTAGTTGAAGATTTAGGTAGTAGATCTCAAATACTTGTGTCTCCTGATTTTTTACTGTGCCAAGAGTTGAGCCTAGGCCACTGGAGACATGGTAGCACACATTATCAATAAACCCAGTCTTCTTTTAAAACATTTCTGGGCATGGAGAATCCTGCAAAGGTTTTGTGAGAGACACAGTATTCCTTAAGCCTGCCAGTCAGATTACCTGTGAGTAATTGTGGCTGGACTGTTCCTTTGCTTTCTTGGAAAATCTTGTATAACTTTTTTTGTGCGTTGCTGCATCTCCTCAGAAATGGGGAGTTTCTAGAGCTGGTGGTAAGTTCTGCAGGCTGGATTTGCTTCGGAAAATCTGGACACTCTATGTGATAAACAGCAAAATGCAAAGCCAGCATTTCAGTATTTTTCTGTTCTGAGGGAGCAAGCTGGGGGGAGAGAAGCACCTGTTTGAGAACTTGGGGTTTGCTGCACTGTGTTCCCTTCCAACCTGTCATTCCTCTCTACAAAGAAACTTCTTTATGCTTTCTGGCCGCCCTCAGAACACCCAGGCAGCAGGAGGGAGCCCCATTCCCCGAGGTATCTCCCGGCACAATGTAACCATGCAGGTTTTATCAGCTCTCTGGCTCTCCTTTGCCTTACAAGGAGTGTAATCTCTCTTGCACCTCTCTGCCCCACTGACTTGACAGCTGACAGAGCACAGCCTCACATTTCTCATCAGCTCCCAGCTCTTCCACTTGACACAGCGGAGCTGGTTCTATCCCCCTTCCCGGACACATGCTCCCCCCTGCCCCGTTCCGGGTGCTTGCCTCGCATTGGGCTCTCTCTGGCACTGCTCATTTTTCTAAACTTCCTTTTCCAAACCTCATATTTGCAAACCCAGTGTTTTTTTCTGCTGTGGGTCATCCTGCTTTTAAATCAATGGCCCTCTTCATCCTGCAAAAGCCAAGGCACTGAGTTGATTTTTTTCAGACCCTCACACAACACTGCCAGAGAAAAGAAAATTGTTAAATGTGCTGTGATGGACATAAATATGCATATATATATATATATATGTATGTATGTATAGTGGAGAAGCAGGACAGTCTTTGCGCTGAACTCTCTGGAGCTGTGGGTCTGATTCCTGCCTGTGCCACATCCTCCTCATGGGATCATCAAGAATTTTTTTTATTTCCTTGTGCCTCAGTTTCCCCACTCTGGGCTGTGGACAATGATAACCTCCCCTTGATCATGAAGCCTCTGTGTTCTGTGAGCTTTTTGCAATGAGGAAAACCTCTCTTCTGGCACCAGCAGTGTCTGAGTGATGGGAATTTAAACTCTCCTGTACTGTGGAGCCTGGCTGGAGGCCCAGATAAAGTGGGTGGTTGCCTTAAGAAGCAGACAGCTGGAGACACCAAATCAGGCAGTGAAAAGCCTTCTCTAGCAGCAAGGGGAAAGTTCCAAAGTTGTTTGGGCAGAAGACCAAAGTGTGTCCCCCTCCTTCTCAGTGAATTAAGTCCTAGGAGCAAGCAGCTGGACACTTGGAAGGGGCACATGCTGGAGGTTTCCCCTTGGTCTGGGACCCTGGACACTCTCTGAGGGAGGATGGGAGGTTAGACTTCTTCATCAATATCCTCTGATGTGTTCCTCTTGCAGCCTTGTTTTTAGGTATGTGCATACAATTGTAGGATACTTCTTGGAAATCTAGTTGAACCCCCCAAAGAAGAAATTTGCCCCTTTTGGAGGGTATTTCATCACCATCTGACTCACAGTAACCTCTCAGCAGTTAAACCACAGAGCCAGGGGCAGGAATAGCTGGTGAGCAGCACTTACTGCTGCTGGCATCAGAGAAAGACAAGTCAGGCTCTTTGGATTTGCAGGAGAAATTTGCATCACTAGCCCCTCTGCAGGAAGGCTTTAAGTGGCCTGAAGAGCCCAGTGATAAAGCTGATGTCAGACTAAACAGGGAGGACTTCACGCCCTGAGGGCCCCATGTCCTACTCCACCCAGTGCTCCTATGAGCTCACCTTTCCTCTGTCTTCAGCTTCTTGGTGTTTTTTGTCCATCCCTGAGCAGCTGGAAATCCTCTTGTCCTTCAGCAGTCATGCCTGAGGATCTGCTGGAAGCCTGTCCTAGTCCCTCAGACCTTCACTAATCCATGCTGAGCATCTCTCTGGAGTCACTGGGACCAAGAGAGCCCCAAACCCACACAGCCTGGGGTGGACAGCCAGAACATACATGACACAACCAAAGGAAGGAGGAGAAGACATGAAACACTTTGGTGAGAAGATCTACCTTGAAGGAGGTTGTTTTGTTGGCTCTCTCATGTCATTTCCAACACAAAGCCACAATCACCAAGTGCGGTGCCTCCAGAACAGCTACACCTATGGCCTGGTGGCAAAAAGAAGTGACAAACAAAGCTGCCTTTTAATCCTTGGAAACATGTCTCGGTTTTAAGCAGCACAAAACCAGGGTTTCCCCATGTAACCACTTTGCTCTATCGGTCTTCTTCGTTGTGGTGCTTCTCTGGTCTGCTCAGTAGCAGAGCGTTGCTGATGTATGTTTTTATCCTTACGGTGTGCGTGTGCCTAAGGACAGCTTAGGATAGTAGTTAGGACAGCTCAGAGCCATGTTCCTGCTTGGTCCCTCTCACCCAACGTTTTCCTAAATCTCTTGAGCACAGTGGTGGCCACTGCACCATTTTGTGACCTGGTCCACATGGGGCCCAGGAAAACCTTAGTGTTTGGAAGAGTGCTCACTTCAGCCATATTCAGAGGCTTTGCATGCAGGCGAAGCTCTTGGGCTTATTCTTTGCCTTGACATTCTTCTTTGTGCTCACCTGAGCCACAGACATATCAGGCATCTGCTTTCTGCTCAGCAATGGGTGACTGGTGCTTCAGCACAGGCCAGACAGAAACCAAAACCAGACTGAAAATCCTCTTGATGGCAGCAGTGCTGAGGAGGAGCAGATGAGCTTCATACAAGAGGGCTGAGAGCTGGGGAATGCTTTATTGCTGTCCTCCTTTAAACAAACTCTTTGTCTCTTTGAAGTAGCCAAACAGAAAAGGAACAGCACCTGGCAAGCACACAAGGATTAAGTTGGGTGGGATGTTTCTTCACTTTCCCAGAAAATCTTGAGGGGTCCATCCTTAGCGACTGTGGGGAGCCCAGGGATGCAAAGCTGGCAGAGCTGGGCTGAGCCGGCCCTCACTGAGGTACGAGCCAATGTGTCCTTCTGTCTTTCCAGCCTGACACATGTCATCTGTCACACCTGCTTCAAGCGGCAGGAGAGGCTGCACCGCTGTGGCCAGTGCAAGTTTGCCTATTACTGCGACCGGACCTGCCAGAGGGCGGCTTGGCTCAACCACAAAAACGAGTGCTCTGCCATCAAGAGACATGGCAAGGCACCCTCTGAAAACATCAGGTGAGAGCCGCCCCCCGGGGGCTGAGCTGCCAGCCTGGGAGAGGATGGTGCATCCCATGGCAAGGAAGAACTGGGTGGCGTGATTTGGAGAGGGTGGAGGTGGGAGAAAATTTAGGAAGTGCCAAGACTATCCTTGTGCTGAGAGGATGGGGACTTGGAAGAGCATCTGGGGTACAAGGGATGTGCCCCTGCTTTTATTTTTTTGGTGCTGGGCCCCAAAAATTCTACTGCAGCTGAGTGCGGTGAGGAAAACCCACCCTGGATGGTTTAGGAGGTGTGGGAAAGTGGGGAGTAGGTGGAAAAGTGAAATAGGAGATGGGCTCTTCTCAAATTTGTCTATAGGATGCATTAATTTGGCTTCACATCCCTGCTCTGTCATAAGAAAATGAGAGGAGTCCCCAGGGAAATGGGAGCACTCGTGGAGGGCTGGGGACCTGGGCGTCCTTAGCACTTCTCCAGATGAGAACACAAATGCAGGGGCAAAACCTTGCTTCTCCCTTTCCTTCAAAAGCCCACAGATGGTGACCAGCCATCAGCCATCTGAAGCTGAGCCAGTCTCAGTCTGTCTGTCTGCACACAATTTCCCGCCTATGAAATGAATTTTGATGGACCTTCATTCCCTCTCCTTGTGGTGAGGGGGGGGGGTGGTGGTGGTGGTGCTAACTCCTGTGGCTGTGTCCCGGCCAGGCTGGCTGCCCGGATCCTGTGGAAGATCGAGAGGGAAGGCAGTGGGCTGTCTGAGGGCTGCCTGGTCTCCATTGATGAGCTGCAGAACCACGTGGACAGTTTTGGGGAGGAGGAGAAGAAGGATCTCCGCACTGACGTGGAGAGCTTCCTCGAGTTCTGGCCGCCCCACTGCCAGCAGTTCGGCATGCAGTTCATCTCCCACATATTTGGAGTGGTATGTTGGAGGGGTTGGGAGAGCAAAGGGGGCAGTGTCTTTAATGCCAGCTTTCCAGAGAAAGTCTCCAGCTGGCCTGAGTTGAGGATGGCTGATTTCATCCCTCTGTGGACTGCCTGTTCCCCAGTACCATCTCTTCTGCACTGACACTGGGAAACTGAGGCATGGCAAGGGCAAGGTCTGAAGCATTTTGTCTGTCTAAACATGCAGACAAGTGGTTTGCTCAGTGGTAGGTGCTGCATTGTCATCACAAGTCCCACTGGGCATCTCTCTGCACCCAGGAGAGCTGAGAAAATCTAAACGTATTCTTAGTAAATATACTTAGAATATATTTAAATATAACAAATCTATTTAGTAGATACATTACTGTCTGTTGATATTGTATGCATTGGATTATTTATTTATAATAGCTAATAAATATTTATATATAGATATTGTTTATATGATAAATATTTAATATATATATAATAAAACTGGTAAAAGATACTCACTATATTTGATAATATCCATTACCACCTTGTTAACTACAAATTTTTGTTCTCAGTGTAGCAGAGAGGCAAATTCCTAGAAGCCAGTTCAGGCTGAGCTGCTCTGTCCCCAGCTCTGGTACCAGTTGGTTAGTGATGCACCAACCCTTCGGCTCCCAGCAGAGCCAAAGGGGCCAGGGTGATCCGGGAGGAGACGCTCTGCTTGCACCTCTTCCAGTGACTGTTGTGGCAGAGAAGCTGGGTTTGCCAGTCCTGTCACAGGGAGAGGACACAGCATCCTTTGGTAGCACCCCACAAACGAAATCCAGTCCACTGGACTCAGGGAGACATATGTGCTAATGACTGGCATAGCTTGTCAGTGGAGAAGTAAGGAAGTACAGAAAACGTACAGAATCAGTTCAGAGAGGAAATAAAACTATTAATGAGGTAAAACAATTAGCAGCTGAATTCCTTTGGTCAGTCCTACCACATATTCTCTTTGCAAATATTTCCTTTTTTTATGTTTGTGACTATAAACTATTCCATTCATATGTGATAATAATGTATCATATAGGCAAATAAAATGATTCATTCTTGGTAGATTTGTCATGGAAAAGCCATTCTGAAAATTCGTAATAAACAGTAGTAATTAACTCATTTTTATAAGCTTTGAGGGCAACCCAGCAAACATGACCTGGTTGAACACAGCTCTCAAGGTTAATTTCTAACTGATACCTGTTTTAATAAGTGTGAACTTTGCTTTCTGCTTGTATTGCTTCCAATTAATTTTCCTTTGACCTTTTCCTGAATTATTTCTAGGAAGCAAATATATAAGGAAACCAGTACATGGTCAAACCAAGTTTATCTTAGGCATCCCAACCAAATATTAACAGCAAATATTCTGCAACATTTACTCAGCTCTGCTCTGGGTTGGTCCCTGTGCATGAGTCCTGCACTGCTTCTCTTGATGTTTTGTCCCAGCTGGAAGGTTTTCAACTTTTTCTTCTTTAACGCTTCTTGCTGCCTGTGTTTTGGGACCAGATCAACTGCAATGGCTTTACCCTCAGTGACCAAAGAGGACTGCAGGCTGTTGGTGTGGGAATCTTCCCCAACCTCTGCCAGGCCAACCATGACTGCTGGCCCAACTGTACGGTCGTCTTCAACAATGGCAAGTGAGTGGATTTCTTTCCTTGGACAGAAAAAGGATGAATCCTAAGGGGCAACTCTGCCAAGTCTGCAGGCTCTGCCAACCCTGGTGTCAGATCCCTGTCTCAGAAAATCTATTAATTCTTATTTCCTTCTCTAGCTCAGAAAAAAAAAAAAAAAGAAAAAAAAATCAGTATTTTCTTTCTCAAGAGGAACTGTTTTCTCTGTCATTGTTATTTTAAAACGTCATCTGATGCACTAAAACACAAGATTTGACCCCAAATCCAGCAACCAGAAAAGAATTTTTTCCTTTTTTTTCTTGAGTCTTGTAGCTAGACTCAAAATAGGTAGATAAAGTAGAAAGTAGCTGTTTAGCTCCCCCTTATATTGAGGCTTCATAACTATGGAGTAATTCCAGTTAGTAATTTATTAAGGATTATGCTGAGTCCACAGTCCAAGTTTCTCAAGATTGCAATCAGCTGTGTATCACTATCTGCTGAGGTGTTTATAACCATTCCTAACACAACCCTCATCTGGTGAGAGTGTTCCATCTCCATTAATCACTGATTAACACTTTAGCAATGGGACCTTAATGACAATTGTGACTGTTATCTGCAAGCAGTGTCATGTCCGAGTGCAGGATGCTCTAAAACCAATGAGCATTCCCCATTCCCACCCAAGTCCTGTAAGAAAACTTTTGAGAGAAAAGTGAAACGGGAAGAGATTCAGTGGGAAATGCAGGGACATTTCATCAGAGCTGGGAGAGGAGGCTGCTGCTCTCAAGGCTTGGGACAGCCCACAGGAAGGATGCTCTGCCCTTCCCAGCCTTCGAGCCGTGACAGGTATAAACTGCTGCTGATCCAGCAGGTTGCAGCGTGTTCAAGACATTTACTGTGGGAAATTTCTTCTCAAAAACTGCACAGCCACAGTATTTCCTCCAAACTTTTCCGCTATGATTTTACAGCTTCCTGTCTTCACCAAACTTTAGTGCTATAAGTTAACCCCCTCCCTAGCCTCCCTTTCTTCAACTAACACGTTGCTTTTGCACTCCAGTTATCGCTGCTGGTTTTCCCTGATAAAACTACACCAGCATTTATCAAGCACCTTGTAAACATGCAAAGAGAAAATAAAACTGCATTAGGATGATTACCTTGGTGGGAAATAGGGTCCGATCCAAAGTCAGGTTGGAGTCTGTGGTATGGTATCCAGTTGTCCTGGATTAGATCCAGGGGGTGATGGAGAGCCTCTCCAACCAGCTTCCAGTAGTGAGGAGGTAACCAGCAGTGACAGCAGCCCTGAAGTCTGACCTCCTGGGCAGTAAGTACAGGACTGGCATTTTATTTGCCTGACAGCTTCTCAAAGCTCCCACATGTATCTTTTTACTGACTTGAAACTTGACCATCTGGTTATTTCCCAGGTAAATTATGAAGGTTTCTTGTCTTTATGTGTAAACCTGATGATAAGTCCCTGTTGTGAGAACTGAGCTCTCTATCAGCACTCAAGGCACAATACTAGACTTGAGGACCCACAAACTCATCATACAGAGCACAGTCCTTGGGGCTGATATCTCAGTCTGGTTTCCATTTCAGACTGTGTTTTAGGGCCTACAACTGCTGATGTCAGTGGAGACATTTCTGTACAGGAGAACTAATCCCCTTGTACCTGCCAAATGTCAGAAGAAGGTTTTGCACATCACAGTGCTAAAATCACAGTGCCAGGGCAGTTCTCCACGAAATCCTCCATGGCCCAGTGATGGGCACTTCAGTTCTGGCAGCTGCATAGCAAAAGGGAGGCTCTCAATGCAGTGCATCAGGAGCGAGGCACAGGGAACCCCCTTGTCTCCTGTCAGTACAACGTCCCAATGCGCTATGCCGTGTACCATTTTTTTTTTGTTGTACTTTTATGTGTGTAAACTGCAGATATTTGTTTTGTCTTTCAGTCATGAGGCTGTAAGATCAATGTTCCACACACAGATGAGGTGGGTCAGTCTTGAAAGCATCGTTCCCCTCTGTTGCCCTGTACCCTTCATGCCCCATATTTAATGGAAAAGATGCAAACACCCCAAGGGTCTTTCTCTGTTTGCAGCAAATTTCACTTCCCTTGTTTTCTAAACTTCTCCTCCTTCCCCGTGTAAAGCCCCACTAAACCCAAACCTCACTTAACTCTGCATTTTGTAGTAAATTAAAATGATAGTGGTAATACTGTGACTATCTCCCCCAGGGTTAATTTCCTCTCTGCCTTCCCACCCTCTCCCTTGGCTTCCTCCCTGTCAGTATTTCCCCTCTGCACTTCTCATTTCTCCTCCCCTGACCATGGCAAGAGAGTGAAAGTCAGAACAAGGTCTTGCTAATCTTGTACAGCCCAAAATAAAACCTTGCATATTAGGAGATGAGAAATGATTGTGTTACTGACATACTAAATGGTCCACGTTTCTTCTGCAACAAACAGTGCCCGATGAATGCTCTGCCTACAATAGCAGTTCCGTGAGATGTAGGTTTCAATCCTTTTTTATCATAATACTTGATTAATGTTTCACCTTTCAATGATGCCACTGTTACCTGATCCCAACTAAATAAATCACAAAAATATGTGCAAAAAGAAAAGTCTCTGCTTAGCTCATGGCACTTGGTATATTATATTGTCCTATTAAGTCCCCACTGTTGTCTTTAAACTTTAATTTCAATCAGACTGCAATTTCCTCAAACAAGTTGTGAAATGCGTTGGAAGTGCTCTTCTTCACCGTTGATTCTTACTCAGGACATTATAGATAGGGCCATAAAAAGGGGCACATGTGTTTCACTTCTGATTAGAGTTGCTATTTTGGGGCAATTTGAGTTTTGATCTATCAGGCACTCGCTGTGCCTGTGCATGCAGCTATCAAGGTCCTTGCTGCTCGTGGCAGACACTGGGGAAAAGAACTTTGGACAAGCTCAGTGGTGTGTTCCTGGCTGACAGTGTCTCTTTAACTACAGCTTTTAAAATATGCCATGTGTTTCCTGGCTTATCCCAAAGGCTATCAATCCCATCAAGGGATGGCTGCTTAAAATATACCTATAGTGCCTGAGCTATCGGGGGCATCATGAAAGTCAGAGGCTTCTCTGGTTGCATGACTCACTTTAACGAGAATCCCGATAGGTGTGTACAGGAATGTTTATGTGTAAACCTTTCCGATGGGAATTGCTCCTTTTCATGCCCTTTCTCCTGGAGTAGCAGGTTGCACTTTTCTCTGGCTGGCATTTTCTTGTGGTTGAGACATAACTAATTCCTACCCTTTGTGACAATGGCATGTTTAGTGACAAATTTTGTATGAAATATGCTGTTGGTATGATTGAACAGCCAGAGAAGGTCAAGACCAGCCTCAGAGAGTAATTTTTACAGCAGCTTTAGCACAGCTGAAAGGCTCAGAGCTACGCCCTTGGTGCTGAGAGCTTGTAACAGGAATTACAAGGGAATTAAAAGGGAACTGCAGGAGATTTACAATCATTCGCGAAAATATGATCACACAGAATAAGTCATGTCTTCCCCAAAGGACCTACTTTTAATGCACCTGGTGAGACCTGTGAGTCCTCTGCCACCTGTGCCTTTGGTGAGGCCCTTGTTGGGTTCCACCTAAAGCACCTCATGTTCAGGTGGGGGCAGCACGTCCCCCCCAGGTCCATCTCATAACAGGTATGTACATCAAACAGGCTGTTGAGCTCACTAGTAGTTGGGAGAGGAGATGGATACAGGAGCACCACCTCACAGTTGGTATTTGATAGGGTTGTTTTCCCCATTCTGGCCAAATTCTTCAGCCACTTGTACCTGTCCAGCCCCTGCAACTGAGAGATGGCCCAGAGTAACTGGGAGATTCAGTGTGCAGAGTCAAACAGCAAGGGACTAGTTTTGAATGTCCATCTTATTTAAGAGGTTTTGCAGGGAATGACGTGAGAGAAAGGCAGGTGCTTTCCAAAAGCCTGTCATCAAGGGCTTTCCATGGGTTTCTCTAACACAGGCTGGCAGTTGAATTGTGGTTGTAATAGCAATAGGCATCAGGTCAAAAGATCTATTAAAAGATAGACTCTTTGCAGATAACCATTTCTAAGCCTCTATGTAAAGATGCATGAACAGGGAGAGGGCATCCCTGACCCAGGACCCAGAGGGAATTTGTCTTAACTTTTCAAAGTGAAAATGACACCGAAGGCAGCACAGCTTGGGATCTGGGAGTCTAGCCAGGGTAGCATGCAAAGCAGTATTTAAAAAAAAGACTTAAAGTCCAAACTCAGCATTTTGGTGGGTATTTCTGATCTTGGGGGGGGGGGGTTTCCTGGTGATATCTCCTGCAACGTAATAAAAGTTGATGTCTAGGTTCAACCCCCATCTGGATAAAGTAATTGAGCCATAATCTGTTTGTAGATCACAACTTCACATATCCACGCCAGGGACTTGCAGAGGGGCAGGAAAAACTGGTGTGACTGTATTCTTGCTCTGTATTCAGTTAACCAGACTGCTGTTCATCTCTGCATTGCTCCCCGAAGACCTAAAGCAGGGCCTTAGGGCGAGGGCTCAGCTCTGCAAGGCAGGGGCAGGTCTCAGGATTTGTCCCTGATGGCTCTGTGGCCCCACCTTTGCTTCTGCTGCTCCTCCAAGCGCACATCTCATCTCCTCTGCACTCAGGATTGAGCTGCGGGCTCTGAGCAAGATTTCTCCAGGGGATGAGCTGACAGTTTCCTACGTGGATTTCCTCAACCTGAGCGAGGAGCGGCGGAAGCAGCTGAAGAAGCAGTACTACTTCGACTGCGCCTGCGAGCACTGCAAGAAACAGCTCAAGGACGACCTGATGCTGGCGGTGAAGGGGGGGGAAAGCAAGGTATGGTTGGTCCTGCTGTGTCCAAACCCAGTGGTGGCTGTGTCTCCTCCACTAAGGCATCTGAGTCTCTCTAGGACTGTGGTTTCTCAGCACGAGGACACTCTTAATAAGAACACAGTCCAATTTTGGCAAAAACATGACTAGTGCCAAGGTAAAAAAAATGAGAACAGAACTGAACCTTGACTGGGCACAACATTGGGCACAACACAATTCAAGCCCACCATGCGAGACCAGTTTAATCCTTATTATGCAGTATAAGTGCAGTTTTTAATTTAAAAAAAAAGCCATAGAATTTGCCTTTAACCTAAAAGTCCATCAACAGAAAGAATGCAAAAATATTGGAAAATTAGGTCCAGAGCTGAGAAAAATGCTGGCATCTAGACTGGGGCTTTTTCCTGAGAAACTGAAAGAGAATCATCATTTTGAGCAGCAGACATGGAAATGTGATGCAGGTGATTTGTGGTGACAGAACTAACCAGTGCTGCTGAAGCTGTATGGTTTGTACCATCACCCTGGCTCCAGGAATGTGGGAAGTCTGAACTTCCAGTCCCTCTTTTCAAAGCCCTGTCACATTGATTTAGCACCGTCACTTGACATTTGTGCGTGGTTGCTGTGGGCAGACTGACTGTGAAGAATTAACGTTTGACTGCTCATTTTTAAGTAATCTGTGTTTTCCTTGGAGGTCTCACAAGTCATCAAGTGGGAGAGTGTAAGGCTGTGTCTTGCTGTTGGCAGTGGCATGTGTTGTTTGGCCAGCAGCTCCAATTTGTGAGTGTGCTGGCAGCTCTAAGAGTTTCTTTTTAGTTCCTCTGCCCAAGGATATAATTGCTCACAGATTTTGTCTTCCATGGCAGCGTTAGCTTAGGGGGTTTCTACTCCTGCAAGCTCTATAAAGTGTATAAGGAAAGGCAAGGCAAAGCAAGGCAATTTAATGTATCATCAAGTCATTGATCTGCACTGTTGAGCAGTCACATAATGAATCAGACAGTACAGGTCAGGGACTGATGTAAGGCAGGACCAAAAAGCAAAGGTGGAATGAGGAGCTGTGGCTTCAGACCAACGGTGCCACCAGGAGAGGCTCAGCAAGATGCACTTTCCTGAGAAGGAGGACAGAACCCTCAGCCTCCAGCTCAGAAGTTACCAGGAAACCAAACTCAGCCCTGTAACTCTTCTTCCATATATGTGGCAATCATGAAAGGCTGGGTATTGCAGAGTATAAATCTCTTCTTGAGAAAGGTTTAGAGAAGTGGGAAACTGATACGAGGGAGTTCCCATGTCAAACAGAACCTGGGACCAGAGGAGACCCATTGCTTGCTGGGTCAAGTTCTCCTCTAGTGCAAAACACCCTACTCCATAATCCCATTTTAAATTATTGAGCTTCATCTTAAAGCTAATCCTGACTACTGTACTTTCCTACTTATAGTATAAAGCTGCCCCAGAGCTCAGTTCTCTGATGCAGAAGGATTTTTATCTGGCTTTCTGCAGAAATATTTTTTAACGCCTTCTCCAGTAGACAGCATAAAAAAACCTCAACTGTCATTCAACACCTGCTATCAAGTGAGCACTGAGAGCATCAATCACAGAAGGGTTTGAGTTGGCATCTCACTCCAACCCCCCTGCCATGGGAAGGGACACCTCCCACCAGAGATGCACCATCCCCTTTTTGTGACATTAAAGGTGCTGTGGAGCACAGAGCAGGAAAACATGCACTTTTGGGTGAATGCCCTCCACAATCTGAAGTGCCTGCGTAGAAAAAAGCTGTTAAGTATGCAAGGTGCATGATTTCAGCTGTTAAAAATACACTTCATCCACAGACAATAGGTATCCAGGCTGACCTCACCCTCAGAGCTCGGGTGTATCACATTTTCTGAATTCAGACACACTTGCCTGAGAGCAGCAGCACTCACAGCTGCCTGGAAAAAGTGCTAGGAATATGTGCAAGATTGGCAGCTTACATCCCCAACAGCTGCTCTGACCTCCAGTCCTTCACCCCTTCCAAAGAGTAGCAAAGTTACCATTGTTTATAATGGCAACAGACTTAGAAGTCTAGTAAAGGCAAGGGAGGATTTTTGTTAGACAAAGCCACTGTGGAAATGCTGTTTAAAGTACCTATTCTGGGTGTCTTTACTCAGGCAGCAAGTCCATGTGGTTTGCACTGACATTAGCATGGCCTTTGAATGTGCTCTGTGCCCCAGGACACTCTGTGTGCTGCTCAGACAGCTGCCCAAATCTGATGAGCTATGATAGCTTCAGTCTAATAATATAGGATAATAAATCATAACACACACATATGTATCCATAAATAGATGAGGGGTATATGGCTCTGAAAACGACTGGTTTTCCTTCCATCCTAAACTTTCAATAGCTTCTCCTAACTAGCTGAATTTCAGATTCCTCAAAAATCTGATTGGCCAGGTATGGGAAAAAGACAACAGGACAGTGATATGGTCCTGACTCCCAGCCTTTGCATCTTTCTTTGCAATGTTGTTTCTCTGCTTTTGATCCACACCCTGAGGTCCTTCTGGCTGCTGGCTCTGTTGTGTGTCTCCAGACCAGGCTCTTCGCACAAACTCCTGTAGTCATGCGATTGTGGGCTGATTTCAGATTTCCCATTTAGGAAAAGAAAGGTCATGATAGATAGAACAGTTGGAAAGTGCAAATTTGAAAGGCTCAGAAAGGCAGAAGATGAATGGTGGTGCTGGATAACTTAATGTTGTATTTCAGCATTAAATGAAGAAAGAGGAAGCAGCTAATTATGAGCTCGTTAGTATTTTTCCAGATGTGTCTAGATGTGCACCAGGTCTCCAAATGCACAATGAAATGCAAACTTCTTTGAGGTGTGGGAAAACACATTTTCCTCTCTGGGTGCAGCTGAAATCTGAGCTCAACCACTTTAGGGTGTTTGGATGTAATGACAGCATTTCTCTTGGTGGGTAAAATTCAGTGATCTTTCCTATTCCACCCATCTCTCGTTCAAGAGCCTTGTTTATCTCAAGCAGCTGCACTAGGAACACCTGATACACACCAGCTGGTGGTTTTCACAGCCTCTTTGACATCTTGTGAGACCTCTCAGTTGCAGGGTCAATTGTGTCCCTTTTCCAAAGGGGAGAAGTAGTGGGGAGAGTCGAGGAGTCCAGTGATGCATGGCAGAGGTACATGGCCACTACCCTCATGAGCATCACTCTTGCAGAAGTCAGCAGGAGCTTCACCTCTTAACTTGGTAGTGGGTCCATTTCAGCCCATTTCAGTCTTGGGCAGGTCTGAGGGGCACTCTGGTACACACAGCCAGCGGTAGGAAGGTAAGGGGTGACGTGGGAAGAACCCCAATGAGCTAATTTGGGTTCCCAAACTGTGGACCAAGTATCCTTTCGACCAGTGTACTTTGGCATGTGTCAGGCTGTGCATTTTCCTCACTGGTTTTTCCTAACATTGTTCCCAGCCCTCTGCAGACACGGTGAAGGAGGTCATCCAGTTCTCCAAGGACACGCTGGAGAAGATCAACAAGGCCCGCATGGAGGGACTTTACCACGAAGTGAGTCCTGGTACTTTTGCTCTCTTGCTGTAAACACGCTGCCCAGGAAAACAGGCCTTGTCCCTCTGTACCTCCATGATTTAAGGATGAAACAATCTCTCCATTGCTGTAACCTGAATATCCTCTTGTGCTTCCTGCCCTCTTGGCAGCTCAAATTGCAAAAGCTGATATTGGTTTCTGCCCTCTTTAGCCCACAACTGTCTCATACAACATCCTACACTAGTTTCTGTTGTGAAGATGATACAAGGAGATTCAGGTGACTTTCAGCACCTCTGACTGACACAGGTGTTGAACCAAGGGCCTCCTGAGTGAAAAACATGAGTTACAGGGCAAGTGTAACAAGTCAGCTCTGCCAGGTAGCCTCACAAAAAGGAAAACAAGGGATCTGGGAAAAGGACAGGACAGTCAGGAGACTTGGCACATCAAGCTGTGGGCTGTCTTTGCCTGTGTTGATCTTCTCTTCACCTTCTGACTCCTCATGCTGCTCATCTGTCAGGCGCTGAGGAGGGGTGTGTGGTGTGGGACACTCGTATCCCACCTGGAATATGGGCTACAAGGGCAAAGGGTGAGAGAGTGCAAGTCACTTCTTTCTCTCTCCCTCTTTTGCTCACCCAAGAACTATTTAATTGCTCTCTTCAGAGAGTACTCCAGGTTGAGTAGCAACCTCTGTGTTTTAACTTCCTTTGGGAAAAGGGCGAAGCCCCCCAGAGCAGAAATCTGGACACTGGATCAGAGCTGGGTGCAGTACAGCTCCATGTCTCTAGCCCTGTGGGGTCATTTAGAGTATTCCTTGCATCAAGTGCTTGCAGGAGGTTGGGTGGGTGGCACTGGGGTGTAAGAGTCCTGTAGGTCACTTGGTATCTAACAAAACCCAAGCTCCTGGAATCTTTCTTCTCCTGAGCAGTAGATATCATTTTTTCCTCACCAGTTTTATGAATGTAACCCTGGGAGAGAAAGCTCTGAGCACCAGTCACTTTCCTAGGCTGCTGGTTGTCAGCAAATCAAAGCATGTCTTACCTTCCCCAGTCTTCACAGAGGCTGACTCAGCATCTGGGACTGGTGCGGACCATGCAGCCCACAGTGCTTTGGTGTGGCAGCTTCAGGACCAAAGGTGCTCGGACTTACCCTTCTTCCCCCTGCTTCCCTCACGTGCAGGTTGTGAAGCTGTGCCGTGACTGCCTGAAGAAACAGGAGCCTGTGCTGGGGGACACGAACATCTACCTCCTGAGGATCCTCAGCATTGCCTCCGAGGTGCTCTCCTACCTCCAGATGTTTGAGGAAGCAGCTGACTATGCCAAGAGGATGGTGGATGGCTACCTGTATGTCTGTGCCCTGTTTTTGGCAGTTCTTTGTGCTTACATAATGTTAAGCAGTGTTACAGGAATAATTTTCTTAATCTGTTCTCATCAGGGCAGTGGTGCTGGAATTCAGATGGGAACCTGTAAATATATCACGAGATAGAGAGGGACCCCTTCTTAAATGCACAAGAGCTCCCAAACACCTTAATTTACTAAACTGGACCTGGCAATTGGTTTGGGTACATCTTTTCATTAGCCTTTCTGTTTTGTCTCCGAAGCATCTCAGGGCTGCCCTGACAGCAAGACACAGAGCCTGGGTGCAGGACAGAGAGGCTGTCACTGCAGGTGATGGTCTGTTCCCCTGAACCCTGCAGGAAGGAGAACTCGTGTCAAATGGCTGTCACTCAAGATATCCCTTCACTCTTAAATAGATTGTGGATTTTATCTTGGCTAATTAGTTTAGTCCTGGGGTAAATGCTCAGTGAGAATAAAGAAATTCAGGCTTAGTTCACATAGATCCAGGGTAAACCTCACAGTAAAAATGGTGTGCTTTACTGTTACTGAGGTTTTGTGACAGGACTGATGCGTAGTTAACAGAAAAAATAAAAAAAGAGAGAGAAAAGAAAAAAAGAGAGAGAAAAAAGAAAAGAAAAAAAATAATGGAAACCATAGAGAAGAGAGAAAAACCCAGTTCATCATCTTATTCACCCTCTTCACTTGTCTTCTTGGTCAGTTTTAGCCCAAAAGGCCTATGGTATTTTTTTCTTTTGCAGTAGGGTGACAGAGTCACTTTCCTGGCTTGTAGACCTGACAAGCAATTTTAGTTGCCCCAGCCCTGGCACTGAGCTAATTGAATCATACAGAGGAAATTCCTTCCCCTCTGTGTTCCTCAGTTTTTCAGACCACAGTGAGGACTATGGTAGTTTCCTTCCTTGATTTAAGATCTGCCAATTCAATATGCCAAATAAGCCCTTGAGGGCAGGTTTTCAGGTAGGTCCAAGCATTTTTAACTCTACTTCAGCTTCTAAAGTTGGATGCAGGGGAGAAGTTTCATTTTTCCCACCTCAGGTGCTGACAGTCCCCAGAGGCAGGGGTGCATCTGCAGGGGGTGATGTGAATATTTCTGAAGTTTCTGGAACCACTTGTTTCTCTTCCCACTTCGATTGAGAATCTGATAGTTGTTCCATTCTCATTTCACTAAGCACCAAGTTGGTGCCATCTGAGTAGTAGGGTCAGATCTGGGCTTTATTTGTACCAAAATAATGTGGAATGAACCCTGTTCACAACTCATGTCCCCGTGTAGCTCTGTCCTTGCGTAACCTGTTCCTGCTCTTCCTAAGCGGGGCTGCACATTTCGGTGGCACTGGGTGCAGTAGGCTCTTTACCTGAGTAAACAACCTGCTCTTTAGCAAACATACCACATCACTGACAAACTTTTGGGAAGCCAGATTTTTTCTGACCTGATTACTCAATGTGCTTCCAGGAAAATATATCATCCCAACAACGCGCAGCTGGGGATGGCCGTGATGCGGGCAGGAGTCACTCACTGGCATGCTGGTCTCATTGAAGCTGGGCATGGCTTGATCTGTAAAGCCTACGCCATTCTCCTGATAACCCATGGACCATCCCACCCAATTACCAAAGATCTGGAGGTAGGTGTCATATCCTGTGTCGTCTTTGCTCTCTGTCTGGGCAAAGTTACATTTCAAGCTGTAGAAACAACCCATCCGTAAGAGCTGAGAGATGTACTAAGTACTGACTGCTTCTTAATAATGCTGTGCTTTCATGGGGATTGTTACAGTCTGCTGGGAAATGCATCTCCCTTCCTATTGGAAATTTTCATCCTGAAAAATAGCTTTTATCCTGCACCAGAACACACATTTAAAATGGCAGTGGAGCCCCTGAATCTTCTTTGAAACTGCTGTGCCCAAGGACAGAGCCTTCCTTTCTACCAAGTCTGATTTTGCTGCTCTCAGAGGCTTGGCATTGTTATTTAACTACATCAAATTATCTATGGTGGTTGTTTCCTGATTACCAACTGATTTTCTTTATTGGTGTTCATTCTTCTTTATTTACCACTCCCCACTCCTTCTAAGCAGTAGTGCATTTTTTCCTCAGGTGACTGATAGGTGTTTCCTAGTTGAGAGTCAAAGAGGGAATTACATCTGCTCAGATATGAGGAACTATTTACAATTGCAGCTGGGGAATCTGTCATTTATTTAGCCTTTAACTCACTTAATGTAACCTGTTGGCTTTGTAGCATTCTCCTTTATTGCCCTCAAAAAATTACAAGATACCAAATGAAATCTCCCCGATACGGCAGAGCTATAATCTTTATTAATGCAATTTTATATCCTCAGAAAAATTAATATCTTCTACATAAAGCCAATCTGACTGTTGACTGTTTCCCCTCTATGTAGCAAAGGGTGAGATCCCAGCACCTCCATTTCTGTGTTTCCCATCACACTTACTTTAGGAGGAAAATAGTGGATATATGGCTCATGCTTATCTCTGTGCTGCAAAGCCAAGCATTAAATAAACTCACAGGCCGGTGTAAAAATATATCCTAGGTCATTCCATGGCCTAGGACATCCCTGGAGGACAGTGCCTGTTTTTTGGCAGTGTTTTATTCACTTGCTTCGAGATTCCCTGCATCACAGGCACTGTAACCCTCTGTGTCCCTCAGGCCATGCGTGTCCAGACGGAGATGGAGCTGCGCCTGTTCCAGCAGAACGAGTTCATGTATTACAAGATGAGGGAAGCTGCCCTCAAAAACCAGAAGATCCAAGTCATGCCTGAACCCAGCAATGAGAACGCACCAAGCCTCTTCCACAAAAAGGAATAATGACACAAATTTACGCCTGTAGGATGACATCACCTGTGGCACTTCCAAACACTGGGAATGTGTTATAGGAATGTACTGTATCCATAAGGATTGTCTCCAGTGGCACCAGTCTGACAGCATGGACCTGCTGGGGGGAAATCCTGAAAAATATTCTGAGGGCTTAAAGCAGAAGAGGTGTTGGCAGAAACAACATCCCTTTTCTACCACTGGCATTAAAAATCAAAGCAGAACAATATGTTATAAAATTATTTACATTTTTATTGGAAACCTGTTTCTCTCTACACAAGTCCTGATTATGAAGTCCTTTGTTAAGTTTTAAATGATTTTTCCTAAGTGGTTCTGTTACTTCCTTGAGACGACATAATTTCTTTCCAGTGATGTCCATGGGACGGTAGAAGTGGGAAGCTGGTTCCAAAAAGTGTCATGTATGTCTGTGAGCACTGAGTGCAAATTCAGTAAGACTCAGAGATGGTGTTCGTGTCCAGTGGTATATTTTTGACAAAAAGCTGCTGAAAAATGATTCTACAGCTGGCACAGGTGCAACATCAAATTGTGGGCACTTTGCAAGTGAGATTAAGTGGAATTCCTACATCAACATAAGTTAATTAGGGCAAATTAGTCTCCTTAGTTAAAAATCAGAAAACGTCTGCAGTGATGGCAGCAGATGGGCATGAGATGGGTCCCTGCCAGAAGCCAGTTGCTCTGGTGTGGTGCACTGGCTGTGTGGATTGTTGTAACTGAACAAACAGCTTCCAAGAAGAGGTATCCACCTTTGCTTACCTGATGCCTTTAGGCACCTGGCTTTTGATTAGACAGATGCTTAATCAATTTTGCATTGATAAAAAAAGGGATGGCTCACGGATCAGCTGCCAGTGGACATCCAACAGAGCTAAGGAAAAGTCTAAAGGCAACGGTTGGATTTCTAGCTTAAAAAAAGGTCTTTGCTGTCTGCCCATCTGTCTCAAAATACAACTGGTTTGCTCCAGACCATCAGTGGCAGTCAGGAGAGGGAAAGGTTTTTCAGAAATCCCATGCCTGCTCCTCAGAAGAAGAGCAAGAAACCAAAATCAGGGCTTTTCCTGTTTGATATTTTTAAGTGATTTTGCTGATATTTCTCGAGATCTGAGTGCTTTTTAGGCACTGTTGAGCTAAGCCCTTCCATTTGTCCTTGAGGTGCCTGCCTGTTCCCAGTGTGACAATCCATATTTGTTCAACTCTTAGCATGAGGATTATTATAGATCTGTAATATGAAAACCTTTCCTGAGGAGGGAGGAGTCCTGAGAGAGATGCATACGAGAACAAATTGGTCCTTTAGCGATGTGTTGAGGTTGCAGAAGGAGGTGGAGAAGCACTTGTAGTGTTTTCCTAACATCCTGATCAGCTTTGAGTGGCTCTAAGTACGTCGTGCCAGGTAGATATATCACACCAGCCATATACCCATTTCCCAGTGGGAATTGGGAGTTCCCAATTATCATCCAAGCACAGGGCTTGGAAAAGGCAGATAAGAAGGTAAAGAGTTTCCTTTCCTGTGTGCATCAGAAAACCACATCTCCATCTGCCTGCAGCACCAAACAAGAGCATGGGAGATGACTTTGGGGCTCCCTCTGTGTCTACAGTGGGAACAAGCAGCCCATCTCCTGCCAGGAGATAAAACCTGTATTTCACTCTGGAAGAAGCGTTCGGTTCCAGTTCAACCCAATTTATTGGATGCAGTTTGGGGTGAAACACACGCTGGACACCTGAAGACAGTTTAGGGCCCTCCTAAAGTGGAAGGGTTGGGGAGGAGATGGCATGACCAGAGCCTGTAGGGCTGGATCCTGCTGCAGAGGGGTGAGGATGTAGATGGCAGTTGGTACACACACAAACTGCTCCCATGTTGGTTGCTTCTCCAAGGCAGCTTTCCAAGCAGAATCACTGACATTTCCTTGAGTCCACCTAAAGCACTCATCATTTGGCCCTGATGGTCACCTTGTGATCACTTTGGCCGTGCTTGTAAGGAAAGGGAACAGAACCCTTTTTCTGCTCCTGCATCCACCCAGCCAGGGCCGCCGTGGGTGCAGGACCCACTGGGACATTCCCAGCAGGATGCTGGCACCTGTCCCCAGGAAGGAGCTGGAAGAGCACTCATCAGCGTGGGGCACAACTCAGAGGATCACTCAATGGCTCTGAGCCTGCACCCTGTCTCAACTCCATCCCACAACATCGGCACAGCCTTAGCTCAGCCTGTTGCCCAATTTCTACCAGTGCTTGCATGAATTTTGGAGGTTAGAGTCTCTTTATAGTAGCAGTGAAGAGATTGATGACAACGAAGAAGTTTTTCATAAAAATTTTATTTTAATGGATGCATTTTACACAGTAAAATGATTGGTATGTGCAAGGTTTCTAGACTCTCTTGCTGATTCTCTTGTAGGTGAGGTCACCCAACACCATTGTCTGAAAAACAAATGGAGAGTGTTAGCTTTTTATGGATTTGTAGAATCATAGGATATCCCAAGTTGGAAGGGACCCATAAAGATCATCATGGTGCTTAGCTCCAAACTCATACGTAGAAAGGATCTGGTCTTGCAAATCAAAACAGGACTGATCCCCACTCTATCTCCTATAAACTGAATTTTTAAAGCTTTGGATTTCTTCATGAATACCCCAAAGCAGGTGGGGTTAATCTGGCATCCCCCATCTGGGATCAGTTTGCTGTGTCTGTCTTCTTTAAGGGTGCCAAGCCCAGACACACACCTTTACCTCTGGATGGGTGAGAACATGCCCTCATTACCTGAAACCTTGACCAGCAGTGCCTAAACTCGGGTCTTATAAATACTTTCTGGGTCAGACTCTAATGAGAATCTGCCCTCAGTGCCTCACTGCAGAGCCTGCATGCAGGTACATGCTCTTCTCCAGCACCTCCCCAAGGTCCCCAGCATCTCTGTAGCTTTCTAGAGCCAAACCCTGAAGGCAGCTCTAAGCACCATTACCCCAGCCATTGCCCTTCCATACTTACATGGGTGATGGTGTCTCCATTGAGCTCGGTGATGGATTTCATCCCTTTCATCTCTGTGATCAGTTTGTTACCCTCCATCTGCACAGTAGCCTGGTAGGAGGACACAGAGGCATTCATGTTATTGCTGGAGGCCACCTCAACCCCTGCATTTTGTCCTCTCCCTTCTGTAGTAGGAGAGGACTGCAGAGCCACCTGGGCTGGGCCAGGGCATGCCATGTCATCTTCTCTCCACCTACCCACCTATTGAACACTGCTGCAGAAACCTTTGGGGTGAGGTGACCGGAGCTGGGTGAGAGCATGGGGCCTGAGGGAGCTCTCAATCAGGGCGGGAAACTATTAAAGGAGCTTTCAGAAACTCAGTCACAGGGACAGGCACATCTGCTGAGTCTCTGCCCCTCAGATGCTGCACATCTTAAAAGGCTACAGACAGCACCAGCACCCCGGGGGCAGCTATCACTGATCATTGTAATCACTCAAATAAATAACCCAGCAAAGACCAACTCTGTTTATCTGTCTTGCCCAGCTATAAGATGTGTTCATCTGTCCTTGAGCTGCTGGTTTATGGAGGATAACACTCTTCTAATAGCTGTTTCCCCCCGCTTTATGCCAAAGGGACTTCAATGATGCTGGAAATCATAATAGAGCCAGTACAGTTCCAGAGCCTGATTCACCGGGGCATTTTTTTGGTGATCATCCCTCTTACTTTCAAAAGTCCCTGAAATATCATCTTTTCCTGAGGTAGAGGTGAGAGGCAATATTTGCCAGTGGTGCTGCCTTGACATTTTCTGAACCATTAGAAACTAATGTCCAGGAACGGGAGCTGACCCAGTTTCAAGGGTGATAACTCCTCACCTTGCCAAATCATCTCACCCAGTGTAAACAGAAGCAGTGGAAAAGGGTAGCAGAGAAGTTAACAGCTACTAGGGCTTTAAAGGAGAGATTTATTGGTTTATGATTCATTGTCTGACCTTCCTGCACTACCTTTGTGTCAACAAAAAGAAGGTGGAGGTATGTTTTGTGCTGCAATATGACAAAAAGTCAATCCCTTCCACCTCAAATCTTTCAGAACTTTTGCTGTCAGAAAAATTTACCAAAGCATCTCTATCCTCTTTTTCCAAATGGGATATTAAAACACTGGCTTCCAGTGTTTTCCAGACCAGGTATTAAAATAGCTTTACAAATGCAAGAAGCGCAGAAGTGCTTTAACACCTCAGCCCCTTTGCTCAAATGTGGAGGGAGTGGCTGGAAGGGAAAGTTAATGTCACTGTGCCCATACAGCCCTGGCAGAGGGGTGGCTGATCACTCACCTTTGCTTTCTGTCCTGTCGGCATCTCAATCTCAGACTCCTCCCCAACGGTGAACTCATTTGTCAGCACTTTGGAGCCAGTGGTCGTGGTGATCTTGAACTTTTTCCCATTCTGCACAATTTCTGTGGTGCTCTTGATGTCCTTGCCCTTCTGGATCTGGTCATCAGGAAGCCCTGCCCAGGAACAAGAGACATTAGGTGAACCATGGAGCCAACTGTGGGCAGATTGCTGCTGAATGAATGAATGGGGCAGGATTTGGGGACCTACAGCTGGGAAATTTCTATTGCAGCGTGGAAAAAACTTCCAATGATGATGCTTTCCCAAGAGCTACATATCCCTAAGTCTGCTGGGGAGGAAGAATAATACTGTCATCCTGGATTTTGTGTGGGAACTAGACATATTCCTTGTCTCACTGACCTGGCTGGCAGCACAATAGGTACCTCCCTGACTAAGAAAAAAATCCTGCTTTCTTTTTGTCACTGAAAGGCAAGAAAAAGTGGAATAAATCAAGGTAGAAAGAAGGAACCAAGTGGTTTTTTTTATGATATTCAGAGTTCCTCAGAACCAGTTAACTAAAATCTTCTCCCAAAAACTGAAGCTGATCTGGCAGGTAGAGCCCCCCTGACACATAACTGTGCAGAAACAGTGCCAAGTCCTCCTGAATCCCCACAGGAGCACATTCCCTTGATGGAAATCTCTCTAGCCCCATTCATCACTAAGCATTTAAACAACCCCTGCTATTTTTCTGATCAATGGTTGAATTTGGGGCTTTGCAGCATCGCCGAGCAGCAGCACAGGGGTTGAGCCATGTCCTGCTTGCCCTCAAATTTCACAGCCTGATGGAGCAGATGTGCAGTCCCCCTAAGCCACCGAGGTCCCACTGGTTTGTCATGTGTTTGCAGCACTTGGCCAGTGGCTGCAGAGCCTGTCAGGATTGTTTTCTTGCAGGCCATAAAATTTCACCTGTCATCTCTTGATATCCAGCCCCCAGCCAGGGAGATACTTCCTCTTCTATTTTGATATCACATGCCCACACACATACATTTAAAAACCCCAACAGCTTCAAAATGACAGATAGAAATAGGAAATCTGAGAGATTTCAGTCTATGTCATCAGCACATAAGCACAGTTGGCTCCCAAAAACTAGTGGGATCTGTAGAGGCAAAGCAGCACATAGCACACGCAGGCACTTACCGAGGGCTTTCATAAAGGGCTCAAAGTTTTCCTGGGACTGGAGTTCATACTTTCCAGTGAAGCTCATGGTGGAAAGGCTCTCTGTGCTCCCAACACAAGAGAAGGTACCTTGCTTGCAAGCAGAGCCTGGTTTTATATGGTCCTTTTGCCTTAAAAGTTGGCCAGAGGTGAGATGATGTAATTGTTTTATGGTCATGTTCAAACATTAACATAAAACTGGGCAATGGTCAGTGATAAATTGCTCTACGTTTTACATACCACAATTTACAGTGTGGGGGCAGGGAAAATCCCATAAAATCAATTTTATGGAGGTTGTGATGTGGCATCGATAAACAAATGATAAAAAAAAATGATAATTGTGCAAAGAGATTAATTATCAGAGGAACGAGCCAAATCATCTAAAGAGCTTGCAGTATGGAAGCACATACCTGGAGGAGGAGAAAGTGGTGAAGGATTCTGTGTTCCCTGGAGCTGACTCCAGGGGGGTTTCTCCTTGCTGTTGTGTGCACACAGGGTCTTTAGCACGGGCATGAAGAGTGGCTGCACACTGACAGGGACTGCCTTGCTCACAGACTCACAGACACAGACCTCAGATACATCAGTAGTCACAAAACCATCATTGTCCCGTAAGAAAAAACACAACTCAAAATTAATTCCTGGGCTTGCATTGGCCCATCTGAAGACTGCAGTTTAATTCAGGCTCCATCACTATGGCCCTGCCTCCAAGAAAGGGTTTTTGTATGGATAGATGCACCGGTGCCATTAGTGATCTACCAGTGCTAAAACACCCTTTCCTCTTCTTTCCCCGAGGAGCCACAGTCACTCCTGCACTGAAGGAGTGTTGTGGCCCTCAAAGCTGCATTTCTCCCAAATGCCATGTCAGAAGTAGGTCCAGTGGCAGCCTCCAAGCTGAGCCAGATTCCTCCCTCCAGAGTGGGAATCAGAGCTGGGCTCCTCTTCCAGTCCAGTCCCTTTGCCCGAGCATCCCAGATTGTTGCATGGCATCTGAGCATCCATCTTCTGGGTCTGGACTCCCAGGCTCAGCTTCTTGCTCCTGTTTCATCTGCTGCCCCAATGAATTCCTTCTCCCTCCCAAAGTCAGCCCAGGGATTTTCCCCCTTTTCACTCACATGCCTTCTCTTTGCAATTCTTCCATTTTGCCTTCTCACAGCACCTTTGTCCTTTTTTGAAGTCATGTATAAGAATGTAAAAGACCTGTTTCCTTGCAATTTGGAGATGTTGTCAGAGCCTTCTGCAGCTGTCTGTCCTGCTCCTGCCGGCTCAGCTTGGCCTCTCTGTGCTGCAGTGGTGCTCAGTGACACTGCCCAGGCCAGATCAGCCTCGGTTTCTGGTTAATTAGTATAGGCATTGTCTGCTGGACAAGGCAGGAGGGGGAAAAGCTCAGCCCAGTCGGTGAGGTGGGCGGTGGATGAGTTGTCTGGGTGGAGGAATCTGTAGGGGATGTCATCCCTGTGCACCATGGAGGGAGCCAGGCTGATTCAGAGAGCACCCGTGGCAGGTGGGTTGATTCAGCAATTTCTCCAAACAGCTTTTTTTTGGCTTTTTTCCCTTTTATCCCCTTGGGAATGACGTCACCTTTCACTTTTTTCCCTGCCCGGGTGAATACCCCAGTGTCACACGGGGCTGCGCTGACACACGTCCCTTTTTAGTGTCTCCTCTGTGGTGACAGTGGTGACTGAGCCTTCTGGCCAGATCCTGGCAGCAGCTGGAGCTGGTAGCTCCCTGCCTCCTGCAATGGGCCACCTGGAAGCACATGTGTGCCTCCCATACATTTGTGCCTTAGACCTCTGGCTGCTCCTCCAGGCAATTCAGGTCCCCTCTCTCTGCATGATGGGGAGAGAGATTCAGACTTGAAAAAACTGCAGAGTTCCCAGGCCAAGCTCCTGAGGTCTGGATGTTGCCCATCAAATGTTGAAAGGGGAATATAATTGTCCAGGACTCTCTTGGTAATTGGGCAGAAATTGTTTGAGTAGTTCAGAGAAATGGACAACTCATGAGAGAATTTGCCCCATTTGGGACCCATATTGTTTTCTGCAGGTATCCTCTCCTCTTCTACTTACTGTAAATACCTGTAACACATTTATGCTCCCAGACCTGGTGTATTGGATAAATGTGAACTATGATCACTGCTGGAAAGTTTGGAAATGCAACCAACTGATTTTTGATCACTGATCAAAAATAAAACCTCTTTGTGCTCTGTTGGACTTGAGTTCTTTTATTTCTTTTAGCAAAGAAATGCAGAAGTTATTATAAAAAAAGAAGAATGCATATTGAATGAAATTTGGCCAAGGTAATTACTATCTAGCCAGGCCTGCTGAGCAAATGGCAGGTGAGATAAACTTAATCTCAATAGCAAAGTTCAGAATACTTGTACATCTCCCCACCAGAATATGGGGTCTTTTAAAATATGATATCACTTTAACTTCCAAGGGCCAAGAAAATGCCCCTGATTTGCATTAACACAAGGCCAAGTATGTGAGAATTTGATTAAACTAAATCCATACCCTAAAACGTAAGCCTGGTTTGTAGAAGGGGAAAATGCATGGATCATTTTCAAAAATTACTGAGGAAGCTACGTGTTAGGGGAAGCCAGCAGGTACTTCTACATTTAAGTTGGTTTGAAAATAAAGCTTAGATCTTAGAAGCTTGTCAGAAAAATGGACACAGGTGTTTCATTTCTGCTTTTTGCACCTGAATCAAAGATATGGATGTGCAGAACGTCTAAACTCCGATTTAGACACCCGAATGCTCTGCGTCCCAAGGTGATGAACCAGAAAAAGCCCATTGGAGGGACCTTTGAAGGTCTCTGGTTCAACCTCCTGCTTAAAGCAAGAATATCACCAGTGGATCACCCATGGTTTGGACCAAATCTCAAAACCCACCTCTTTTGCCTCTCTGGGTACTCACCCTGGGCCTGCAACACCCACCTCTTGAAGTAGAGGTGCTCAACCCAAACCTCCCAAAGTACAATTTGTGGCCAGTGCCTCATGTTATAACATCAAGAAGAGCTTGGCTCTGTCACCTCTGTAGCTGCCCTTGGAGCAGTTGCATTCTTTTACCACCTTCCCTCAGCCTTTCCCTGGGATTCCTCATCTTGGCTCCCATTCATTCAGTGTCTGCCAAGGCAGTGGGAAATCACCCTCTTATGTGCACTGCTTCTTGATGATTTGGACATTATGCTGGGAAACTGGATTTTGAGTTTTAGGGCTCCTACAGAAAAAACCTCCCTCTGCCTCCTCCAGTTTGAACTAAACTCTTACTTAAGATCTGAACTATGAAAATGACTTTACAGCCAAAGCACTGTCTGGGGACAGGCACTTTGCTCAACTCGCAGCCTTGTGGAGGTCTGAGAATGTCTTCATGCACCTCACCTCTATCACCTCTCTTGCTCCTCTTGTCTATCCCACCAGTGAGTCCCCAGTCTTCGTGAAGCCTTTAATTTCCCCTCAGTTCTTTGGGAAGCTGGGGCTGGGTTCTTCACTAGTATTTTCTTGGTCCAAATGTGAAAGGCTACAAGCTGGGGCTTTTGTTGATTCAGTCCTGGATTCTTCTAGTGCAGGTCCAGCTGGACACCCCAAAAGCCATTTTTTTTTGGAAGCTTGGTCACAAGCTTGCCAGTCACAGATCCCCAGGTGGGCTTCCCTCTGTCTCAACCTATAGCATTGCTTAGGTAATCCCTATTTCTGCTGCCCTTGAACTTGGGAACTTGGTCTGCTGCCCAGTTTTCACATCTTTGATCTGATTATTTTAAACCTTGAGGAACAAAGGTTTCTTTGGCAGGCCACATAGCTGCACTGCTTTGAAAGGTTGGATGGGATGGGAAAAGATGCCACTGCTGCTGTGAGCTCTCTGTCGCTGTTGGTTTCCACCAAGTTTTCTTTGTGCTGCATTACCAAGACAGCACTGAGATGAAATACAGCACCTTTCCTAGATTTTTCTCTTTTAGAAACAGCCTTGGCAGTCTCCTGGAGACTCCTGCCTCCGAGTTGTAACTTCCAAGCTGCAGACATGCAAGCGCCAGTTTGTATTGGTTTAGATTAGATATGCCACTATCAGAGCCCTGATAAGGCTGACAAAAGCGGTAGATTGTAGAGAACTGCTGCTTGATAAACCTTTCCATCGACACTGATATTCAGCAAAGGGCAGCCCTCAGCCCTTGTCATCTTATTACAAAGGGACCAAAGGGAGCAAAGGGTTAGTATTGCATCTCCAAGGGCACAGGAGGTCTACCAGTGATAGCTTGAGATCTATCAAAGCCTTAGCTTTGCTTGCCTATGATCACCTGAGGAGCAGAGCTTACAGAAGACCCTGCTGTTGCTGCTGGGGTCTTGCCTTAGAGTAGGAATAAAGTTGCTGGCTGTGCCATTCACCTCCCACTCTCTTGCCTCAAACATCTGCAGCGTAGTACCACAGCCTCTCTCTGGGCATATGGACCCCTCTGCTTATGCCCTCAGAGGCCATGTATTGTCCTTGGAGCTTGGACTTTGGTGGGATGAGACTATCCTCCATCCCACTGTCCAGCTCATGGAGGCAGAGTATAAGGACTGAAAACGGTGCTCTTTACTTATGGAGCTTGTTCATGCCAGGGCAAAGAAAGAAAATGTTGGGAAATAAATGGAGCCATCGTTAGCAGTTAATGTTCTTGAGTGAGGAAGGTCTGAAAGAGTCCCCTAAGGCAGAGCCAGTGAACATTTAGCCAGTGCAGATGATTCATCTCATCCCACCATGTTTGCAGTGCAGATGTCCCCATCTGATCTAGGCACATGAAGAGCCCCTGAGACATGGTGGGGATAAGTAAATCTTCGTCTGCACAAGTGGAGGAGCCTGGGATATCGGGACGGAAAGGACAGCAGCCTCCAGTGGTCAGATGAATTCCAGTCCTGGAGGGACACCTGGCTGTTGTTGTGGGCCAGTGCTCACTTCTCCAGCTGGCCTGTGCTCTCCTTCATCCTGATTTGTCGAGCTCAGTGGCTCAGTCAATGCTGCTCACAGGGGATTGCAGCTAATTAGTCAAGGAGAGCTTCTCAGGCCCATACAGGCACGAGAAGGAGCCTGTTCCTGTCTCTCTCTGAGGCAATATATAACCACAGTTTATATATAAAATAAAGGAAAGTTCAAGCAGTAACCCCCAAGACCTTCCCTAGCAGATGGTGTTCCTTGGCTGGGGAAAGCAACAACACAAGAGTGATGCACCAGCCAGAGGGTCAGTGCTGAGGCAGGACACTGCAGTGAGGAGGGCAGAAAGGTTATGTGGGATCTGAGAACACCTGAGTTTTCACCAGGTTCAGGACCATAGAGATGCTCCATGGGAAACAACCACGGTGCCAGCAAGGCCAGAGCTGTGGACAAAGCCCAGGATTGCTACTGTCCATGTCCCGCTTTGTCCTGTCATGTTTGCTGTAATCAAAGTGCTACCCTGAGCATAGATATC